GGACGAAGACCTTGAGCGCATCTATTCGGAGCGCATGATCTCTCTGGCACCACTGAGCCCAACACAATCCCCCAAAGACTGGACACCGGAATACGCACCTCGAATCTCATACACGCCCAACGAGCGACCCATTTCCTTCACATTCCCTTTCGACCCAAAGCATCCCTTTGACCGGAAGTCGACATCCGAGACGTCGCAATCAGACCAACAAAACCTTCTCGACGACATCGACGACGCGATTGACGAATTCATGTACACTTTACCCGCAACCACATACAAGACACTACCAGCGACTACGTACGACCCAAAGCCGGCTGCCGAACCCACACTCTCCAGCGCAACATACAACCCAGAGCCAACGCTTTCGAACGCTACATACAAGCCCGAGCCGATACTGTCGAGTGCGACGTACGACCCAAGGCATGCGCGAAAGGACTCCGTCATGCCGTCGCAGTCCTACGCCGACGAGCCACCACCAGTGCCGCTGAAGGACGACAAATACAGGAAGGGTAGCATCAGGGGATAGTATGGGACAAGGTAGCTGGTGATGTTTGATGACCTTTTTGTATAACAGTACTTCTGCTTCGACGTTTTCATTTGGGGAAAAGCGTGTTTGGTGTTTGAGCGTTTGGATTTTACATATATACCCTCATGTATCAGGCTACCGGATAGGCTGGATGGAGTACCTTGGACCCTTATGTACAATACAAATCATGACAGCGGAAACGCAACTTTATAACCAGGTGTACAGACTACATCAAACTAAAAATTTGCAAAGTAGGTGACCCAACGTCAATGTAGACTCCAGGGTGTTCATTATTTTATCGCAGCACGCCTATTGCTCCGACCTCAAACGCCGATACTGCAACCCCAAAAGCAGACATAATCGCTCTTCACACCACTTAGCCTTCCACCCAGAAGGCTCCGGCGTGATACTCTCATCGCCCCACCCATCCGCCTCATTCACCAGCTCGACCTGCACCTCCGAATAAACATTTAAAACTGCCTCCAAACTACCCATCTTATCCGCACTCAGCCTACCCGAGAGATCTACCCCCATAATAGCTAAAATGGTTTCGACAAGAGAAGCCAGCATGGTGATACTCGTGGGGAGGTGCTGGTTGTAAGTGGAATGGTCCCAATTAGGAAGGGGTCTGCCATCCCGCTTGGCTTGCTCGACCGCTTGTGTGACCGCAGTGCGGTATGTGGAAAGTAAGTTCCAGATCTTGTGCCAGATTGTCTGGAGGATGGCGGTTGTCTCCAAGGGGTCGGTTAGGAGAGGAAGGAGGGTGCCGCGGTAGAGGTAGGATAGTGGGATGTCGTGAATTCCACCTTCTTCATCTTCAAATCCAAATACACCTTCCTCTTCCTCTTCTTCTGGGATGTCTTCGTTCCCACCTCCCCATTCATGCCATGGATACTCCTCTTCTTCAAATGGAAATTCATCATCGTCATCATCTTCATCTTCATCATCCTCCCCCTCTTCCTCCCCATCCCACACCCCGCCCCCCGCAAAATAATACTCCACATCCCCATCTTCCTCCCCATCCCCATTCACAAAACTCTCAAACTCCCCATCCCCCTCATACTCCACCTCCCCCTCCCCGTCATCCAAAACAAAAAGCTCTTGTCTGCACAAGGGACAGGTATTTATCCCTTTAGCGCTCAACCACGCAACGATGCAGGGTTCGCAGAAGACGTGGTTGCAGCTTGTGGTGTTGGAGAAGGAGACTGCGGGGTGGCCGGTGGTGGTGTTGTAGTCTTCTTTGCAGATTGCGCAGGAGGTGTCGTCGGGGGTGGTAGGGGTGATGTTGTGGGCGAGGAAGTGCTCGCGTGTAGGGAGGCTCATTGTGATGGATATGAAGAGGGTTTCTCTTGGTGGGTGGGTGAGTTTTGATGTGGTGGTGGATTGTGGTGAGGTAGGTGAAAGTCTTGAAGAGTTGGTTTGGACCCGAGGTGAAAGTCGTGAAGAGTTGGTTTGGACTAGGAAGATGATTTAGGGAATGAATGGGTTTTATACTCACAATGCTTGAAACCACTGCATTTTGCGGCTGGTCCTACCCGTGGGTAATACTTCGTATAATACTATGGTGCTTGCAAGACCTCTGGTTACGTTAATCCCCAACCACGGAACTCATAGCGCGGAACCTTCTCACATCCACTCACAACGCGTCTTACTAACGACCTACTCATCTCTAAAGATCCACTTTCCACCTCTCCTGTGTGCATCCAACCAGCGCTCTTGCACGATCGCCTTCTCTTGTTCCTTTGCACGTTCCCTATCTTCCTGCTGTTCCTGTGTCGTCGGAAAGTCCACTCGCCAGAACCCCGGCGGTGTTCTTCGTCGCTCGTAGGCCTCGCGATGCTTCCCGGACTCTTTCGCCATCTTCTTCGTCCGAGCTTGCAAAACAAGCTCTTGCCGCTCTTCGGATGACATCTGCGTGAGCTGCATGTTGCTGTATGCATCGCCCAGATAGTCCTCGAGTAAAGCCTCTTCTTCGGAGGGGCTGAGAGGTCCTTGTGCCTCCGCAAAAGCTCGAAAAGTGGAGCCACAACATTGCGGGTTAGTACAGCCCGGGAGACACATGCGATCTCCTCGCTTGCGCACAGTCTCGGAGAATGCGTAGCTGAAGCCTTGGTTGTATTCAGGGTTTGGCTTAAAGTCCTTGACGCTGAGCTCGCCGACCGGCTTATCTCGGAGGCGAACCTGATCTTTCAATGGTGATGCACGACTTTTGCGAGCACTGGAGCGCGTCTCGGGAGCCCTCATGGTCCATATAGGGCCGTCAGGCGTCGGATCCTCACGAGGGCTCGCGCGAGCCTTTGACTTTGAGCTGCGCGCACCCTTACTGACGGAACGTGTCTCGGTAGTACGTGTGGAACTTGCGGGAGGGGTAGGGTTTTGCTCGGTTTTGATCTTTATCGAACCTGACTTGGGGGTCTTCGGCGACGTCTTTCCTGGTGTCTGAGGACTCTTCAAAGCTTGCAATCTGTGGTTCATTTGCGCTCGAGCAAGGTGGGGCGGCAGCCGCGGCTTACGATTATTCGCAGGTAGTGCTTCGCCCGACTCTGCGAGGAAAGAATGCTTGTCTTGTTGATACTCTTGGACTTGCCGTGAACGCTTCGTGGGAGGCTCCTCAGACGCACTATTCACCACGTTGGGATCAAGGGGTCTCAACACAGCGTCTCCTGCTTGTGTGGGCTCATTCGGCTCACTAAAGGCTCGTGCTTCGATACTCGCGAAGGCGTGAGGCTCGCGCATGTTATCATAGATATCATGCAGATCAGTATCATCCAGGTTCTCGTTCTTAACGGCCTGCGTAAGTGGCGCGCTGTTACGCCTCTGCTGATGAGGCGTTTCCACAGGATCTGTGTCATGAAATATACGTGTCCGAGGTTGACGAGGAGTCTTGATCCCATGGGGCGCAGGATCGTCCAGATCCATCGTCTCGTTCCTAGTCATGTGGAAGGCAGGGAGTGGAGGACTACTGTGGGGCTCTTCTTTCACGCGATGAGGCTTTATTGGCGTTCCATCTGAAGAATGATCTGCGTATATCTCGAATCTGGACTTCGACGGCTGGCCTCGTTTTCGCTTTAGCGACCTCTCGGAAACGAATTCGGGGAAGTCGTCATCATCTTCAGCTTCCGTAGCTTGTTCAAATATGCTCCTCGGTTCGACCTGCTCATCCACTGTTGTTTGACTGGAGCTTGGAATCGCTGATCGATGGCCTTCGTCCTCTGATATTATTCGCTGGACGTGCGACGAGACACCGCCATTGTGTTCTTGATGTTGTTGTAGCTGAACGTTCCCTGACCGAGTGCTGGCCTTTGGAGTGACAGTTGTGGTGGGGCTCCGGGCTTCCTCGCCGCTGACTGTGGTCGGAGACGCCAACCGACTCGTCATCCCCAGAACTGAACGCGGAAGCGGGGCCATGGGAGCAGGAGAGGAGCGGTCCGGATTAGCGATGGATCCGGGAGTTCGTACAGTGGCCAATGAAACTGGACTGGAAGGTACATGAGGCCGTTCCTCCGGAAGAAGGTGAGCCGTCGCCATATGTGACTTGTCGGCCCCGTCTCTGGCCTCGCTCTTCGACTTTTGTTTCACTGCTTGCCGATCTGCGTACTCTTGCCATGCGCGCACGCTCTCTTTCATGTCCCTGTTCTTTTGCATGACGTTTGTATTCTTCTTCTGGAGATACTTCACTTGTTGAGACATGTCCCGGTACTTCTTAGTCAAGTCGCTAAACCGGGCAGCAAGGTCGTGATACTCTTCTTCGGTAGCCTCGTTTGCAACCCCGTGATCTGGTAATGGTGCAGCGGCCTCCTGTAGAGCCGCGAGTCGTTGCTTCAACTGCTCATTCTCGGTAGTAAGGTGGCGATAATCCTCGGACGCACTTTGTTCATCAAGTTCAGAGACATGCTGGTCGACTGGCCCCCTAGTTTCGAGCTGTTCTTTCAGGTGCTCATTCTCCTTGGCAAGACGCGCTGATTTCAGAATCTCGTCATTCAGATGTTGGAACAGTATCTGTTGGTTCTCCTCCTCTGCAGCAGGTCAGTATGTAACTCAATGAATTAGACAAAACGCGTACTTTGATCTAGCTCCTTCTGATGTTTCTCTTCTTCTGATTCATTTTTAGCAAAGATCGACGCGTTCATTGACCATACGTACTCGTCTTCCATTCCTTCTCGAGGTCAGGCTTAATGACCTCATCGTATACGCGCGTCCAGAGCCCTTTGTTCTGCTCTACCCAGGCTGAAAACTCCGCCATATTGGACCAGTCCGACAAGGCATGAAAACGACAGGTGTGACAAGAGATGACTCGATGTTCGCGTGTGTCCTGAATTGGTTGCAGCATTAGGCGGCAACTACGAAAGATACGCGCTAGTGGAGCGCGCAGTCACGCGTACGCACAGACACTCTGCGATAGCGATAAGACATGGTGCCATTCCGACATCCCGAGGCGCATTCGCCGCCGACACGACAGCCATAGCCCGGTATTATGAAGCGCGCATACGATGGCGATGATGACGGCGAGCATCCAGCCAAAGTACAGCGGCTTCTACATTCCGACAAACTCTCTCGATTGAGCGAGGAGCTGCTTGTGCGGATACTGTCTTTCGTACCCGTACCCTCGCTGCTAGTATGCCAAAGGTAGGTAAAGTCATCTTCGTTAAATCGCGACATTCGCTAACTGTTACAGGGTGTCAAAGAAGCTCAGTCGCCTTTCGGTCGATTCGGAATTATGGAAAGCCGCTTACTACCGCACATTCGTCCTCCCTCGAGCTTCGCGCATACCAGGCATCAGAGGCCCTGCCAACCCGAATCGGCTACACTACTCCTCGCGGCTATCGAAATGGCTAGAAGACGGCTACTTGGTCAAAGATGGAACACAAACGAACTGGAAGCAGCAATATCGGTTGCGGCATAACTGGACCCAGGGACAATGCGCCGTCAGTGAGATTGTGGTCGCTGAGAGGCCTCCAGACCCACCGCTGCTCGTGATGATGTCCAACAGCATCATCTATGCTGCCGACTCCATGTCAGGCCTGCGGGCGTGGAACTCGAAGAATGATAGGGAGCTACTGGCATCCACGGAACTATCTGGTGAAACAGATGTAGCTCGGTTGCCCATATCCATGGCCATAGATGCCTCGAATACGGACGATGACACGGAGCGAGTTGTAATAGGCTTTGAAGACGGCTCATTCTCTATTTACGCACTTAGGACGAATCGCAACAAGTTCACGAATGTCTTCACCCATCCGCCATCAACCAACGGAATGTTGTCAGCTCTCGCATACTCGTCGCCTTATCTCCTCACGATGACCGAAGACCACCTCCTCTCATTATACGCTTTTGAAGAGGTACCTGGCACGTTCGGGCTGTTGGAGGCACCGAAGCTGCTATACTCCCTACGATCAAACACTGCATGGCCACCTGTCTCGTTATCGCTGCGCACAACAGCACATACCATGACCGCCGCGATCGCATACTCCCTGCCGACGTACTTATCCGGCTGGACTGTTGGTGTGCAGGAGCTCATACTCTCACACAAAGGCGATCTAATTGAGTCACGGTTGGCTACTGCGGCGGACGAACACTCATTTACACTCTCTACGTACCGCGCGGCCTCTTCATCAGCACGCTCGTCGTCACCTTTACCAGATCGCGCCGACGAAGCCCTAGCACCGAGCGGGCCGAGCAGATCGAAGCCTACCTCCATGTCATACTCTCATCCGTATCTTCTCGTCGCGCATCCCGACAACACACTATCGCTCTACCTCGTCCGATCGACATCACAAGCATTGTCCATCAGCTCTGGCAACCGCCTCTGGGGTCACACGTCTTCGATATCTGGTGCCCATGTCGGCCTGCGCGGCAAGGCTGTGTCCGTGAGCAGACGAGGGGACGAGCTCCGGGTATGGGATCTAGAGGGTGGCATGAACTCCTCCGCGAACCGCAAGCGCTCAAGAAACGGACAATTAAGCGTTCGCGTACAGCCATCCAAGGCCAGTGAAGAGTACACCCAGGACGACGACTCGGGGCAGCAAGTGGGCTTACGGTTTGCGCTTGACCAAGGCTTTGACGACTCTTCCGTCAGTCGTGGTTGGGTCGGCTTCGACGAACAGAACGTCATAGTGCTGAGAGAGAAGAGCGAGGGCAGTCAGGCGTTAGTGGTCTACGATTTTACATGACCTGTCAAAGGCTCCGAGGCGTCAGCATCTGTTAACGAATATACCCCCATAGAACGCTACTGATTCAGACGAACATCGAACTGCCAGTATCTACCAGAGCTCGACATTGACGATACTTTCTCAGTCACTAGTAGCTGTCATCAGTTCACTCCTACACTTCCAAGGGGTCACATGCTTTATCTGCCGTATCCACAAGACACATTACCATTGTCCGGGCTCTCGTGACTAAGAGATCATCATGCATGGTCACTCAAGTCGTACATCATGTATAAGACACAGACCTGCGCTTACTATCCAAGCGTAAGCCTACCCCTCCAACGACTTCGTCCTGTTCGCAAACTTAACAAAATATCAGATATGGATACAAGGAACACGGCTTTCCTGACGCAGCAACCAACCGACAACGCCGAACTCAACGCGACTCCTGCAACTCCAAGCGATAGTCTGCTGCCAGCTCCGCTCAACGGGCTCGCATACGATAATTACAACCCTCTCGCAAACAACTTCGCAAACTCTTCCTCGGAGCGAACATTCTACCGACGTGGCCTAGATGGACAATTGTATCGAAGCGGCGACCCGTCGAACAGTAACTATATGCTCGATGTAAGTGGTAGCGGCTTTGGACATCGGCCTGCCTCATGGGTGTTCACTGCGCGTGCAACAATGACTATCGTTGTGGATCTTGATTTTGAAGAGTTGAATTCGGATACTCCTTTGGTAATGGAGACAGGCCGGCGACATCTGCGGAGGCTGTTCGAAGCAAGAGCTTTGGAGGTGTTGCAGAAGTATATGGATGAGGAGAGGAATGGACAGGGGGTTTGAAGGGCGTAAGGCTCGAGATTGGGATGTGATAGCTGTAGGTTTCTATCGATATCTTGGAAGATGGTCTAGGTGGGATTTGCATTACAGTGACATTGACGGGTTGGGTGTTGCCCGGATGGTGGTTTCGCACACATGTGACGTCACCGCTTGGACTACTATCTACCTAGGGAGGTAGCCGCATCTTTCCGCGACTTCCAACATCATCTCAACCCTCTCAAGACTACCACCTCTGACGCCGCGTCGAAAGCTTCCACAACATCGCGCGCGATCCTCAGTTCTGTTCCGTCTTTTCATAGTCACTCCATTCCACTGTCTCTTCTTCAACAGCCTGCATAAAGCAGCAATGTCAACGAAAAAAAAAGGTGGGTGTTGGTTCCGCCGTTCGATCGTCAGTAAAGGCCCCAATAAGCCTCTACCTTAGGTCTCGAGACCTTCGTTGTGGTAACCGGGCTCACGTTCCCGCATCTTCGACATCCACTCTCAAAAGCTGGACCAAAGTCCATTGCTGAGACGAGCTCAGAGTGCTTTTGCCGTTTGAGACGAGCAGTCCCGGAGGACACCGTTGCTCACCACCCACCGGCAGCCACTGGGGTGCGTGGATGTCGCCGTTCCGGCGATCGTAGGTAGCACTGCAAAAACCACAGATCGCATTTGAGCGTTGAGGTGCCGACACATAATGCTCGTCAGCGCAACGACACCTCATGGGACCAGGGTCGTAAGCGTCCGTCAACGTCTCCACCCCAATCCTTAACGCTTGTGAGCCGGGGTTTCAGGAAGTATTGGACAAGCTGTGTGAAAAGAGTGGAAGAAGACTTGTTAGCAAGGATGGCTGGAGCCCGCCCACGGCTCCAGATAATATGAACGAGGGGCTCTCGTGGGGATGACGTTACCTTGTCGGGCTCTCCAGTATCATCGGGCTCGGGTTGAGCTCATTCCATCGTCTCCAAGTCCACAGCCGAAAACGGTGTGAGGTGGAGGGTAAGGAGGAGAGTCGTTGGCAGAAGGTACGCAGGCTCTTATAGTCAGAGGGGCTACAGCGCGGAGGACTGTTGCCTCCGGGCTTGGCTCCTTTCCTCTCATCGTCTCATTGGCTGTTACGTCTGTTTGTATTCACCCGTGCACGGACCAGGCGACCGGCTGGGTCCCACCAAGGGATATTCGGCAGGCGCTGCGTCCATCCCCCAACGCGACCGGTTCTGTTGTCAATACTTTGCGACAATGGCCCCACGAGATTGTTCCACAGTTCCCGCCGATAGCGCGACCAAAGGCGCACAGAGCAAGCGACGATGGCAGTTCCCCGACAGTAAGACTTCTGCGGACGTCACCACATCGACATCTGTATCCAAGAAGTTGAAGCAATCACATCTATCATCACCAACACCTACTCGGCTCCTTGACCTAGACACCGCCTTGGTCCTTCAGATCGCCAAAGCAGTAAGTCCACATCACTCCATCAAAGGAGAACTCGATTCAGACTGCGACGCGGCCTGGAGGTTATGTCCTTTTTGTACTGGCACATATACGCTTAGACTTGCGTTCTTAGTCTGCAAACACCATGAAGGACTGGAGCTAACAGTGTTCAGGTCGGTCAAGAAGACCTTCCCAAGCTCATGCGTACCTGCCAGGCACTGTGGACCATTGGCCTCGATGCGTTGTACAATGACCAGGTGCGGTTTAACCTAGGCCCTCGATTCCCCCCAAGCGACAGCCTCGTAGGATACGGACCGACGTTCAGATACATCCATCGCTTCACCCGGGATGTGACAATCGGCATCACAGCACGTTCTGGCGCACAGGACTATTTCCAGATGCTAGCGCCGACGCTAGAACACACCTCGCTCACTTCGTTGATATTCACACAACCCGGGCTATCAGACGAGCACCAACAAGGGCCGACTAGGTCAGCGCTGAACGGACAATCATGGCTGATATTGGAAGATATGCTGTGCAACGACATTCGAGGCCTCAATCTCCGAGACTCCTTAAGAAACATTGACCTTCCGGAAGTCTGCGACCCACCTACCACCAATAGCTCCGGTCAACACATCGATGACACTCTTCTGGATAGCCGACTCATCCTCAAGTTCGTATCTACCCTACTGCAACCTGGCAAGCCCTTCCGATTTGCAGCCGCAGGCAGCAAGGAGACCGGGGCGCTAAGGAGAGTTGCCCGGCGTCTGCTCGAATACGTCGGTGTAGGAGCGCATATCGAATCTTTCTACATGCGTGGTTCTGAACCCGGCAAAGATAAGGGGATATATCGCAACCCCTTCTTGGACTTGGGATTGGAACAAAAGTTCGCACTCACTAAGCTCGTCTTCCACGATTTTTGCTTCAGAGATCTTCCAGCGAGCGTCGCCCACTCTGTCGACCTCTCGAGTGTGCGCTCGCTTCGTCTCATCCAGTGCTTAGACCCCGAGCGCCTGTTCTTCTACTTCATGGAATCAGATTACAATTCGAAGATCAACATCGAAGATCTGTGTATTCAGATACTTAACTGGGACGAGCCCCTCTTGTGGCGAACCCACGACTTCGCGTTTACGAACTTCATCACCAGTTTCAATAGCCTACAGTCAGTGTGTATGAAAGTATGCAACACTTGGGTTGGAGCCAGGTCTGAATACCCCAGGCTGATCGACATCTGGCGTTACCATCCCGGCCTACGGGTCTACGATGTAGATTTCGGAAATGAAAACGATCTTTCGCTCCGCGACATGGACAGTCTTGCATCGTACTGTCCTGGATTAGAAGTCTTTGGCTCTCGCGACATTGTGCTCGGTACTCCGATTTACGATGGAGAATGGAGCGAATTCGACGACGAAGCTCCGTATATCACCGAAACTCTGGCCGCCGAATTTCGAGAACTGAAGACGTGGAAAGTCTACTACAACACGGGACCCCTCTTCAAAAACGAAGAGGGAGATGACTTTCACCACCTTGTCGCAACCTGCCTCTTCGACTTCTTCCGCGAGGCTTGCGAGGAGTACAAGATCGAGTGCAAGCTCAAAACCATCATCTTGATCGCACAAGATGACGTCATCCCCGACCATATCTTCCTTCGTGACGGCCTGTCACAGGGTCTCACATACAACTTTTGAGGTATACGTTGGACACAGGTGTCGTGGGCAGTTTGGAGATTTGGGGGTTGAGGCTTACATGATGAAAACGCTTTGTAGATAACTATCCTCGAGAGGTTTGTAGGCATCTAGGTGTTTTGTTCGTGTCTTCTTGGGAGCTGGCGGTGAGGTTGTAGGATGTAACTACACATATAAACTTCAACTTGACGATATCCTAGGTTGATATAGACGTCTCGGGTGGCCGTACTTTCCGAGATTCTGGCGACCATGTGGGGGTGATCAGGTCGCTAATCTGCCAAGACGGCAAGCGCGATGACGTACCCCGCGTCGCAGGCGCAGCCGCGTCAACCATCTCTCACGTAGCCAACTATGGAGCCATTACAAGATTCTGGTCCTACCATACTTCACTCTCCACCACCATGTCGACCGCCAAACCGCTTACGCCCGCGCAGACGCACGCCCTCTTCGATATCCTAATCCACCACCAAGTCTACTCCGAAATCGAAGCCTTCAAATACCCCCACACCATCGATCAGTATGGCTACCCCTTCCGGAAGGCAGACGGCGTCCAGTCGACGAGCCCATTGCTACAGAACATGCTCAACAAGTTTGCGCTATGCAACCCCGCCATAAGAAACTTTGGCGAGAGCTGGTGGTCCGACAAGATCCAGACGCTAGTCGCTAGAATGGCCGAGGCGGAACTGAGCGAGAGTTACGATAAAGGCGCTATTGGCAGTCGGAAGGCCCTTGCAACGGCAGCGAGTAGCATCGCTGAGTACGTTGCACGAGGCATGTTGGGTGGATACTCAGCAACGAAGAAGAAGGAGAGCAAGAAGGAATACGACACAAGCAAGCCCGAAGACGTCATACAAGGCTTTGAGGAACTGGTCAAGGATGCGATATACGGGGATGCTTTGGATGATCTGTATGAGAAAGTCAAGGCGACGCCAAGACTGGAGGACCATTCCAGCAGTCTGCAGGCAGCGCACGAGTATATGCTGTTGAAGTGAGTATTTTAAGTGGCTATCCTATTCGCAACCTAACAGTCTCAGTGCTGCATCTTTCCTCCACCATGTCTTCGTCATGTCGCCCGACGGCCAATACCTCGTTCGCCTCCTCGAGAATCTGCACCGCCTCATACCATACACCGTCATCAAGCAGACATTGCGCGTTGGAAACGCAGCGACAATGATCAACGGCATGGTTAGACTAGTACTAGCCAAGCTATCGGTGACGGCCATGACCAACTGGATAGGCCTTACTAACAATACCAACGACGGCATGAATCTTCTACAGCAAATTCTGTCTACGGTATTAGCATGGGACACATCCGAATTCCAAAAGCGGGCAACGAAACTAGAGTCGTCGCGCAACGCGCCCGACAAGAAGGTCTTCAAGGCACTCAAGACATACGTCTACTCTTCACGGGAGAAACATGAGGCGGCGCGAAGCCAGTCAATATCCGAGTCGAAGTCCATCGCAGCTGTCATCCTCGAAACATCCGACCCTCCATACAAGATCGATGCCGAGACCCTGAGCGAACACCAACATAGCGTAGCCATGGAATACCTCAGCACATACCTTTCGATTCGCGACCGGGAGGAACTCACCAAGGTTCTCTGCAAATCCAACCCCGATGTCTTGACTTCCACCATACGCGACGCGGTCACCGGCATGGATCCCGTCATCCGAGCCATACACAACGCCGTCGATCTTTCGGGCACTATAACCGACGCGGAAGCTTTCATCACCGACCTGATCAAGACTGCCAAGCCAAAGAAGAAGGGCACAAGGAGCCGCGAAACTTCTAAGTCAAGACCGAGCTCACCTGACCCAGCTAGCATCCTCGATCAAGAAGCAAGCGACGCCCCCACCGTGGAAGACTTTGTCCAACTCCTCAAGAAGCACGCTCCCTCCATGCACAAGTTCCTACATCAAGTTACGAAGAACGCACCCGACCTCGCCCAAGATTACCTCGTCTACGCCAAACGCATATTCTCTGAGTTCCGCGTCGACGAGCGCGCCAAAGAAGCCGAAGAAAGAGGCGAAGGCGGCGCAGGCAACATGACAGCACCCCTCCACTCGCTCTTCGAAACTCTCAGCAAAGACAAACAAGAAGAGCTAAAGAAACTCCTCGACCAACACGAAAAGCATCTCACCACCCTAAAGTCCACATCCCAAACCCGTCTAGAATCCATCATGAAGCCCGCACCATCATCACAAAACGGAAAAGGCACAACGCACGGTCCAGGCATGTACCTCTCGCGCTGGAACGCACTACTCGACAGCACGCTCATCTCCCCCGCCACCATCCACGGCCCTGTGCGCAAGGGATGGGAAGTAAAAGGCGAGCTAGATGGCAAAGGTCTCAAGACAAATAGCTCGTTACTGGATAAGGACAAGAAACGGGATCGTGTTACCGCTATGATGGCAGACGGGACGGGAGACAAGGTTGAGCGGAAAGAAAGGAAGAGAGATGGGCTAGAGGAGGAGAGTATGGAAGTTGTTTGGGAGGGCATGAGGGATGGGTGGGTGGGTGTTTGTAGGGGGTTGGAGGTTATGGGGCCGGAGTAGGGGGGGCTTCGATGGGGAGGGGGTTGTTGGGTATGACGACAAGGATTGTGAAGGTGTTTGCTTGTATAGAAACGTGGAGAGGGGGATGGGAATACGGTGTACGGTACATAGATCGATGGTCAAAGGCTGTAATTACTACAATTGGATAAATCGTCTTGACATCACACACCCGTCTTGCTTGCCAAAGCTCATGCCTACCCCAACAGCACTTTCAAAGAGGGGCATCAGCCTGTACTTCGTTAGCCAAGCCGCGACATCCTGCATCTCGTGCGTAATGGCGCTCGGGAAGACAGTCTTACCGCAGGAACCCACGGATCCGCCGGCTGGTGCTTCCACTTTGACGTCGTGCAGATCACCGGATGCCGGGTGAAGCCGAGAACCGAGCCCAGGACCGTTTTCGTCTCGTGACTTTAGTTATTGATAGTATTTTGGTCATAATGCATGTGGTTTACGGGATGTGTGAGTGTGATCTTGTGATTGTGTTGGTTTTGCGATGGCGGGTGACGTGTGCTCAGTATGGGGATGAATGCGGAATGTTGCGGATGTGAATCACGGAAGTGAACGACACATGTTAGTTGCGTTGCATCCCAAGGTGCAGAAACGATGCCAGGGAACGACTTATTGTAAAGTATGCAGATGAATCATATTCATATCCTCTAGTCTAAATCATAAAAGTGTGAATGGTATCTCGTTAAACATGCATATGCCCAAACCTGTCGTCTAAAACAAGAAAAGAAGAGAAAAACGCCTCGAAGCTCCCCGTATCCGTACAACCCGCCCACTGGTAGCTATATGAGGTACATGTCTAGACCAAGACCAACTTCCCCAAAGCCTCCAGATCGGGTACACGGAACCCCTCTTCGCCCTCACCCCAAGCCACAGTACCTACACTGACTGTCCAAGCCACGACCACCATTCGCGCAACAAAAGCGATGGTACTGACATCCAACGGCAGCTCAGACTTGAGAACGTGTTCTATCTGCTTGGCTAGACTCCTCTCTTTCTCATCCATCGACGTTGTAACCGCTGGGCTCGCCTCCGTGATATCAGATGAAAAGGTGCTGGAGCGGTTCGAATAACGGGTACTGCGACGTGATGATGTGGATTGGCGCTTGCGCTGTTGCTGTTGTGGTTCAGATGGCGATGCCGATACCGGCGAACAGACTGTCTCCGCGCTTTTGCTTGCCGGAGTGGAGGCAGTATGCGCCGCGACGGCTTGTTGGTATGCCCGTCGCATTTCTTGCTTCGTTGCTTCCTGGACTGCAGCGAGTGCGTCTTGCGCTTTAAGGTCTGGTACGAGAGCCATGAGGCGCTCGAGGAGGGTTGTGTAGCGTGACATACGGGCTGTCTTGTCGGCGAGAGTGTCGGGTGTTGTTGGATCGCTGGCGAGTCTACCGAGGCGTTCGCGCTCGCGGAAGAGAAGACCCGCGTTTTGAGGCTCGTATAGGGGACCGAAGATGTTGAGGTGGGGTGTGTGGCGGTGGACTTTGTCGACGAGTTGCTCCAGGCGCTGGAGTAGGCGGGCGTGGGGGAGGCCAGCGGAAGCGATGAACTGAACGGTCTTGATCAGAGGTGAAGAGGCTAGGGGCGCAAGGCCGCCGGAGAACGGCAGTGATGCTATGGCGTCTAGTAAGGTGTTTGAGGTATGGACTTCGGTCGATGTGGCGAGGATGTGGAATCGTGCTTCGCGGGAACTGGGTAGCGAAGCGAGGAACTTGGACTGTGGCGTTCTTGCGACATATGGGTGTGTGTAAAGAGAAGCTCCTACTTGTAACGCCTCGAAAGATTCATCTGTAATGAGAATGCTGTGAACGCCGATCTTATCTTGCGAGTATGGGAGAGAACCAGCTGCAAGGTGCTTTGCGAAGAGTGGTGAGGTGCCTGAGCCTTGGGCATGCCGTTGCGATCTGCTGCGCTTTTGTTGTGTGAGCGTGACCTGGTGTTTCGCGTCTGTCATTGGCGAAAGAGCCATCGAGATGCCGAAGGCACCATTCTCCGATAACGCGTTTTGTTGGTCAGCGCTGTTGACCAACTGACTTCCCAGTATTACTGAGAGTGCCGCAAGTTCAGCAGCTGAGACCTTGACGCTCAACCTTCCATCCTCATACTTTGCAGTTTGACCATCTTTCACCCAAGCCCGCTGTGTAGCCTTCTGATCATCGTCTCGCAGTCCATTGTGCATCGATACCAAGGTAGATGCCGGCCTCTTCACGGATAAGCCCCTAGCCAAACCCATCTCAACCACCGATAGATCCAAGCTCTTCCTCGCAGTTTTGGGGCTAGGGTCCGTTCGCCGAACATTGGACATCGACTTTGACCGCCCCACGCCGCTTGCAGGTTTCTTTGCTCGAGCAAGGAACTTCGTCATGTTTCCGGGGTATGACGATCGCTCTGAGATTGGTCTGTTTCGAACTTCGTTCGCGAACGCATCGTACAAGGTTTCGAGTGGTACCTGTCCGGGATGTCCTTGGAGGTTGGTAAACAATGCGGAGGAAATCAAGCCCTCATCACCAGCCTTGATGATGCCCGACAATGTTGGCACCCAATGTCCTTTGCTAAGACTTTGCTTTGGGGTCAAGAATCTCTTCCACGAGCTGGAGATTTGCGTGAGTTGAACCTGCCGCTCAGTCTTGCCGTCCGTAGTGAACATGTCGTCTGTCGATGTGGTCTTGGGCTGCTTGTGCAGGAGGAAGCGTGTAACGAGTGCCATGGCGGCGAGAAAACAGAGTCCAAGTACGACGCTCGCTGCGACTATTTCTTTCGTGTGCATTCTAGATTTGGCGGGGGTTGTCTCTTATACAAAATGTCGCTTGTTGTTAGTAGGCCGTTAGACCCTGGCAGGTCTGACAGGAGGTAACCTTGTCGCCCAATCGGAATGCAGGGAAGCTGCCACTAATCCCTGCGTCGCTGTCTCGGACATGCTGGCAGCCGCTTCCTTCGTAAAGATGGTGCGAGGCGGCCAGGAGTCATCCATCATTCGTCAGCGCATCGTGCTGTCCCGTGGTTCGCTTCATTTGTCAGATAGTCATCGAAGCGGTCCTCTTTCTGCAGAGACAGCACGCTGACCGTCAAGTCCAAGAGCGAGCACGTGTATCGCGGGTACTGTAAGCTTCAGGAATGCCTGTAATAGCCACGTCTGGATGTTTGCATATCCAAAACAACGTGCGCTTCTGACTGCTGTCTCAAACAGCCCGGCTGCCAGACCTGTGAGATCAGAACATGATTTCCAACGACGCAGATCCTGATATCCACGCGACCCCACACGTCAAATCAGAGTTTGGCTCCACGGTTGCAACTGTTTCTGCCCTACAGGATCATCGTGGCCAGCGGAGCGTCGGACAAGGAAGGGACGAAAAGAGGTTCGACGCACGGGCCCTCTATGATGGCATCCCCGCGAGGTTTGGGTTGGAGAAGCGCCGAAATCGCCAAAGCGAATTACCGTTTCCTAGGTTTCAATGCGATGTAAACAACCGTGCCTGATGGAAAAGGAGACTGGCATAGTTGCGACGTCATAAGAGGTCGGGATAAGATGGGAGCCGCGAAGCTTAGCAGGTGAGTTGCAACCCCTCAGATCCAGGGTGCGAAATGCTCCGTCGGCCCACATCGGTTGGCAGCGAAGATCTCCGAACACCACCAATAAAATTCAGTGCAAAGAACAGATTTTTTGTCCGCAACTGCGATCGTCTGTTCTGGAACTGCAGTACACATCGCGACCGGATCTTGCGGATGGTCGCGACCCGAGACGCCCGGGAACTTCAGCTCGGCCTCTCGTGATGCGCGCGGAGTAGGAAAGCCAGAGTATTCGGCCAACCGCACATCACGCACTAAGAACTTCCTGCACAGTCCGTTCAAAGCCGAATATGCAGTGACTGACTGAACGGTGAAAAGAAGTAACCGGGGTTGGCGGCGTGGACAAGTGCGCTTCTCCTCTGATTCATACGGCTTTCGGTTTTTACGAAAGCGCAATCATCTTTTGTCAGCAGCCGGCTTCTGACTCTATCTTGGGTCGCTTTGCTTTGAACGCGCATCACAAGAGATGGATGAATTGCTCGGCTTGCATTCGAGCCTCAGTAGGTGAAGATGTCGTAGCATCAGAGGCCTATGGAATCCAGAGAGGTTCCAGGTGACTGCTTGGTGTTGCGACCTTGGCGATATGTTCCAATAAGCTCTTGTACCCTGAGGAGTTTCTTCTGAGATAGCAGAATGGGTATGGGATGGTTGAAGATTAAGATGACATGTGCGCGGACGGAAAACATAGTCAGACACTGTCGAACCCGGAACTTGCACGTCGTGCTATACGGGAGTCGCTGTGACAGGCCGGACAAGCGGGGCGAACGAGCTGCAGCAGCGCCAACGGTACATATCCAATACAGCACTCCAACCATACCATTCCACACGTTTGCGAGATCGGTACGTTCTAGAGTCTGCATCAACTCTTCGCAGATATGGGCTGTAAGCGAGATCTGGCTGCTATGTGGCTCGTTCAGAGCTCCGGTTTGGAAACGAAATGGGTAGCGACTCGATGTTGCAGCAACAGAAAAAGGCAAGCGGCGTACGATAGAAGTTGTGTAGATCGTGGCAGTGAGACGACACGCCTCATAGACCCAATCGCAGGAGTTTGGGTGATCTGGAGTGTAAGCCGAAGGCAGATTTGCTAATCGATCGCAAATTGCAGCCACCCTTGTCTTGTAATAGACTTCATTGGAGGACGAACAGGCTACATGAACGTCCGTAGCATCGCCAGCGGGCTCAAGTGCTGTGCTTTGCGCCAGGAACAGGTCGGTTAAGTCGCGCATGTCTCGAAGTAGGTCACATGTGGTAGATGAGCAACGCTCTTCGTTGAGAACATTTCGGAGGTCAGGCCCTGGGCAGAACAACGGGGATTCCGGTATTGCGACATCTGCGTTATCGTTGACCGATTCATATTCTGGAGGCTCCCACAACGCAAAGGTCGGCAGGGGTTGGGCTTCGTAAATTAGGTCGCAGTGGAAACAACACCTGAAAGCATCATTAGTCTGCACTCTTCACCAGGAGGTCATGAAGCTTACGCAGTAGTAAACTGCGCGATCATCGCCCGACCGGTCTTTTCCAGGTCGCCGCACAGGTGTATCATTTGTTCGATGCCTCGTTCGTGACACCGCACCGTAAACTCATCACAGCTCCACATATCGCCTCCCAGCAAGTGTAACATCACCAGGAGGGTTGACACGGCGTGCTCCCGGGTGAACGACTGGAGCCGAAGCCTAAGCATGACCAGGGTCTCATCTCTAACAAGCCGAGTCCTTGTACTTTCGCCTGGAACTTTTGCGAGCATATCGAGCCAAGTACATGTCACGGACCCGATACCACTGAGCATCACATGGGGATGAAGATTCATCTCGGGTGCCCATGCCTTGACAAATGCTTCTGTCCCGAACGCCCGCATGACTGTATATGTCAGCACTTGAACCAGAGCGTATGACGTGAAAAGCCTGGAGGATTATGTACACCTACATGCACGCAAGATGAAACCGCTGTTCAAACTAGGGTTCTCGAATTGAGGCAACACCTTGAAAGGGTCAAACCCGTCTCCGATCTGGGAGTAAGTGGTCGTGAATAAACGAATCTTGCGTTCTTCTTGGCTCTCAGTGTACTCGTATCCAGCACCCTTTTGAAAGCTTCTACTCTGCCTTCGGCCTGAGCGAGTTGGCCGACAGCGTTCAAACGCAGCATCACGAGCCTCAGCACCGCTCGCTTCCTTTGGGGACCTCGTAGTCGGTACATGAGTTTGCTGATCATATTCATAAGAAACAAGTGCTCTCGGTGTTCTTTCTGGGGGAAGTAATTGAGCTTGAGTCGTCGTGAGCTCGACCTGCTCGCCGACTATTGGTTCAGTGTAAAGAGGTGGTACTGTTTCGGGCCGTTCCCGAGGTGCTGCGTCGCTATTGTTTATTTTGTTCCTATGATACCTCATCGCCTGCGAACGGACGCTTCGTCTTGTCTCCCCGTCCTTGAATTGAGTAGGGTCTGTCGCGGTAAGGAAGCGAAGTTGAAAAGGTCCATCGAGCTTTCCACGGCGACGCGCCGCTCTCGTTGTGGCGCGAACAGTCTTTGGCCAAGCATCGTTTCCAGACTGGCGATTTGTGACAGCGGGTAAAGCGATATCAAGCTGGGAGGTCGCGATGTCACTTTTGCTGGTCGGGGTTATGCTGGAAGCCATGGATATTGGCGTGGTGTGGTGCCCCAGAATGCCAAGAGAAAGCGGGGTCTGGCTCAGCGAGGGAAGTAGCCACGATGCCACGCAGCATCCAGCGCCCACAATACCTCTACACCTATGTGTTCGTCGCCGAAGAAGGAACCGCGCTTTTATATGAAGCTGGGGCCGGGGTTTGTATCAGCCGAGGCTGGCATGTCGGTGAGCCGCCCATGCAAGGCACTACATGCGTTCACGGGTAGTACGCCACCGCATCGCTTGCGTCGGGGGACCACGCCGCGATATGATAGAGCAATAAGCGTACAGCCTCGCACTAGCCAAGACAATGGTGGCCTGACGATACTAGAGTTCCGACCAATCCAATGGATTAAGAGAAAAGCTTCCAGGATCACCGACATCCTTTTAACACGCGCATTGGGACGTCAACAACTTAGCCAAGATCTTCCGCACAGCCCTTCCAAAGTCCATGAGCAACTGCCACAATATAACACCGTCGCTCTGATCAGTAATCCGACTCTGGTCCGCTGTCAATAGAGGCGAATCCTCCGCTATCGACACAGCCGCGTCCCCATGCCATGCGACACCAGCTGGCCGTATCGTCTCGTTGCTATCAAACGACTCCACCATTCTGCTTTCATCGCTGAACATGTAGTCACAAGGTAGATTAGCCCCTAGATTCTCGTCAGGTTCTCGACTTTCTTCCCTCGGGATTTGTACAACGCACCCTCTCTCCTCAACTTCGCTCGAGCCTCGTGCCACCGCTCCTCATCGATCAAGCTTGGCGCATCGTACAAACTAGGCGACAGCGAATTGGGGCTGAACGGCGAAGGTATGAACCGGCGCACGTGCTCCAGAGCTTGCGATGCGGTTTCGCCTTTGTAGAACATGCGTTGCTTAACTTGCGGCGCGACGAAGCGACCATCTGGCAAGTCATTTAGCAAGCGATACTGCTCTTCGACATTGAAATTGTCGAGGTCGTCGATATAATAGTCAGCGACATAGCCGTGGGTAGTCATGTCGCTTCGGCTCATGGCGTGAACGGTATATGCATGGAATTTGAGAACCACCCAAAGAGTCAAAGAAAAAGCAGTGGCTTATTAGCATCTTTCGATTGCATACATTGAAGTAGAAATATCGACGATGCGCTTCCGTTGGTCCTCTGACGGCGTCAAACGGCACCCTGGCAAACCGCGCGCTGCGACGAACGGAAGACGAACGAGAGAAGGAATTAAGGACATGTTCTAAGTGCATCCGCAAACCTACGCGACTATTACCACCTTATACACAAAGCAAACTGAACAGGTCTGCAGACTACATTAAGACAAAAATCTACAAAGTAGATAACCTAACGTCAACGTAGGCTCTATAGTATTTAGTTTTTTATTGGGTTCACGTGTTACTATAATGCTGTACCCCAGAACGTCGCCCTCACACCTCCAACGCACTACCATCCAGCGTCGCCCCCATCCCCCCGACTCTCCTCCCACACCTCACTAACCGCCGACTTATCCGGATGTGATTGCATCCTCGGCATCCCAACCGATTCCGTCTCAACATAATACCCCCCTTCCTCCTTAAACTCAAGGAGATACCTCCCATTAACAGGCCCAAATTGCTGGACCGTCCATATCTTGTTGAAAAAAGTTCGATTAGGTCTTTGGTGTGGGAATTCGCCTAAAGGAAGGCATGTCTGTTCAGGGACATGTGATAGCCATTTTTCGATTCGGGGTCGAGTGGCCATTGCTTTGTATGCGACGAGCGTGCGGAAGCAGTTTGCTTCTTGTTCGAGGGTTTGGGTTGAGGTGGTTTGCTGACCAGAGGAGGTTGTTGAGGAGCTGGTTTCTGACTGCATCTTGGGGTTTGATGAGTACAGAGGGTTTGCGCGGCGTGTGTGGTGAGGTGTTCAGATATATGTAGCCGCTACGGAAGGTTTGTAGTAGTGTACGCGATGCTGTGCGCGGCCTTTGTATGCTTTTAGGGGTGCTGAACGTATTCTGTTTAAATTTGGTGAAGTCTTTGTATGGTTTTGGAGGTGCTGAACGTGTTCGCTTGAGGTTTGGTGAAGTCTTTGTAGTTATGGGAAGAATTTTGGTGTCTGAGGGTACAACGGCAAGAAATGACCATTTTATGAAATTCCTGTCTCTCATTCTTTGGTTATCACGCGACCCACCCATACGCAACGAGCCACTCACAGCTTTCCTAAAGCTTTAAACGCGAGCCGAATTTCCTTCCTATAATAATCCTCGGCAATGTAATATCTCTCTCCTCGCAAGATCTCCTTCACTCGCTTAGGCTTTGCCCGTAACTCCACACGCCTTTCTACTGCCTCGTATTTCTCATCTTTCTCTCTGTCTGCGCCATAGCTGTCGGTGACGATAGCTACGATTTTGATCACTGCAGGCTTGTTCGGGAATGTGATCTCCTCAGCCTCAATACCAATTTGAGTATTTCGCAGGATGTCCGCGCCGGAGTACTCGATTACGCCGGGCGCGGATGTGAAGTAGCCGCCAATGCAGCTGCCGAGGTAGGTTATAGCCTTGTTCAAGAGGGAAGAGAGACGACGTGGAGGTACCGGGAGTGATTCGGCATGCGTCCGCGAGGAACAGCTGTTTGCTGCTTCCCGTATTGGTGTTAAGTCTGGATGGGACTCATGGGGGTCGGCAAGGCCTGCGAGGGGATTTGGGCTAGGTGACGGCGGTGCAGCCCAGGGTGCGCGTTCGTGCCATATACCTTCGTCCATATCTGCGCCCGCATCTCCACTAGTCTCGAACTTTTCCATGTCGTTTGGTGGTGTGCCGTCACTGTCTTTGGCCTCCGCGGCATGAAGTGGTGATGCGGTCACAGCGTTGGAATCCGGAGTGACAGTGTCTCTGTCCGTCATCAAGCCGACCAAGTGTTTTGTGCGATCCATGTATGGTGATTGTGCGGGAAGCGCACTCCTTCTTGACTGAACATCGGGGTCTATGACTAGCTGCGCTTTTTGCGGTGACTGATCTGCTTCATCCATGGTTGAGATGGCTGGGTGCCGATGAAACGGGGTTCATGCGTTTGGAAAAAGCTACACGAAGCCGCGCTAAGGCTTTGCAGAACTGCGCTGTGCAGTTGCAGGTGTAGTGAATGAGACTCGATGGAACTCAAACTCGAAATTCTAAGAGTGAAGATCGCACATGAAGAAAGCGGTGGCATTGAAATGAAGACAGCGTGTGAGTGATGAGCGGTGAATGTCTCATAGCTAGAGACACACCGAGAGTGTGTACACCCAAATCCGCCATCCGCATGTCGTGGCAGATGCGTCACAACACCTATTCCCGGGTCAACATACACACAATTGCTGAATTGCTGGCAGATAGTGACATGTACACTAGGAATGTCCGGTCATTCATACCCAGGTAGTGTTCGATAAATAAGTCTCCAATTCTCTTTCTGCAGAAGTCTTAGCCGCTACAACTACATCTTACCACGCAATCATGTCAGACTCACCAAAAGCTCCAGATGCACTCAAGAAAGCACCTCTTGATATCCCTCGCTTAGAGATCCCTCGCTTAGAGATCCCTCGCCCCGTATTCCAACGCGAGACCACATCTGGTCCCTCGGAATGGCAGGCTTACACACCGAAGACTTCGCATGGATTTATAGCCATGCATACCTCCACACCCGAGGACATGCATGAGAATAGGAATGCTGGAAAGCCTACAGCAGTCAAGGATTACTTCTCAGTACCAAAACAGAAGCATAATCCTATCCTTTCTCCTAACCCTGCGCCGTATGAACCGCATGGCTTCTTGCCACTTTGCTCCGTTGCGGCCGTTGAAGTAGATGCGACCGATTACTTCGGGCTATCAGACAGGACTGCTAAAAGGGATAACGGAGGTGCCAGCTGCGCTGCTCCAGGTATGGCCAAGGATGCCGAGTGTGGCAGTGCTCCGCAGTTTGAAGGCCACGCGCACACGAGCCGGCGTTCGCTGGGCGAGGTTGCGCATCCCTCAGGAGAGCAGCATGACGAGCGCGATGTCGTGACGAAGCCAGACGAAGAACAAGATATCGAGGAAGAGCTCGAGATGAAATTGCGCGGTGGCAGTGGCGAGAAACTTTGCGATGGAGACAAAGAGGCGGTCGATCGTTCATCTGCAGGGGATGTGCCTGACCCAAAAGATCATAGACGAGAAATCGAAGCTGACCCACCCATCGCTTCATCGCCCATCGACATGGCCCAAAAGTATCATACCAAAGAACGAGATCCTATTCCGGCGCTCAATAGAGCGCTTGAGCAGATGTTACGAGAAGTCGCAACCGTTTGTAACATGGCATTAGACATGCACGTGGCTAACAACGCTCCTACCAGCACAGAACCCACGATCGACAATACAGCGGGACGTGACGACGCCGAAACGACATCAGAGACGCCAACAGATCAATCTGATGATTCTGAAAGCGCTCATGCGGCATGACTACATGACAGCCCAGGATACGACGAGATCAAGCCAGTATCCACAGAGATGAGCGCTGCGAACATGGACGAGACCACTCTTCCAGAAACCGAGAAACCATCTCCAGTAATCCGACGGAAACTCAGAAAGACCTGGAAGAGACTGGCGCCACTCGAAGGTCACACTGGAAGACTCTTTGACACGATGCAGCATACAGACAACAGAACACTCATCGCATTGAAGTCCGGCTTCACAGTCGACATCGTGAATGCCGACACCAAGAAAATATACGTTCGCAACGTTCCGCTTCGCATGTTATGGCATTTCTGTGGCGTCTCCGTCCTCGATCGCTTTATACCAGACAGGGACGGGCGCCCTGATCTGTTAAAGATACCCGTTAAAGAAGCCGAGAAATCTGGAGTCGCAAGAGTCATGCGATACATGCGTCGCGCATGTAAAGCAGTTAGCGTGCGGCCCACAGGTGAGCTGCGCGTACCACCCAGTCTGGCCGCCGGTATCGAGACGATCCGAGCCTGCCGTGTGTTCGGGCTGCACGCAGACGCCGATCGGATCGAAGATGTAATTATAGACGAGTGGATAGGCAACGAAGCTTGGTATATGACCGACGAGCATGTTGAGCTGATCTGGGATGGCTATCACGGTAGTCTTCGCGACACCGTTTTCGGGGATGTGATAGTCTGGTTTATATTGACAGAAGTCCAAGATAAGTCGCATCCTCTCGCCGAGGAGATAAGGTGGATGCTTGACCAAGACGATTACGAGACCTTGAAGGCAAAGGTTACGGAGGAGGTGCAAAGGAAGATATGGCGACTGGAGGATCATGATCAGTTCTTGGCACGATGCCAGTGGCAGCGGGCGGAACAGGTGCGGAAGGAGGAAGAGCGTGCTGATCGGTTATTGCGAGGTTATAATCAAGGCCCGCTTCCGATGTCTAACGAAGAGCAGGCGGCCTTCCATCATGGAACCAGCGCAAAAGCTCTTGGTATTGAGATGATGCAAGCGGGATTGTGGGATGGCACAGGCGTAGGGGCCCTTCAAGATGTTCCAGTGCGATCTCCTGAGCCTTCGAGAGCTGGAGCGGATACGCCTCTTCCGAATTCGCTTGATAGGCATTGATCCAAAATTTCGGTATGATAGCCAGACCACATGTTTAGGACTCGCTGGTAGTTTTGTTTTGTATTGTATCGATGTTAGTCTGTTAGCTGGTTCCAATATGCTTTGCAACATTGGTGATATTAGCGTTTAGGAAACGTGCGACAGCGAGAACGCGCGACGGGAATGACGGCCTCTCTATTGTGTGAGGCAAGTTGAGATGAGAAAGAAACGAAGTGTGCAGAGATTCGCTCTTGCTTCGACTTGGCCATTACATCATCGGCTAACCGCATCAGGTGTAGTATCGTGCGTGCCCCCAGCCCTGGCCCCGGGAAGCCCAGCATCAAGCACGTAGGACATGCTCTCTGATTAATATCTTCACTCTCACAAGCCGGACAATGTCTGAAAATGGACCCAATGATCAATACGTACGGAATCGAAAACCACGTCCCCAGGATCAAGGTCCGCCAGTGCCACCGAAGACTCTCAGTACCGGAAACACCATCCGAACCATCAAACGCGTCGCAGCACCAAAGCCCCTCAAATTACAGAGTCACTCCAAACCACTGCCAGCAGTGCCTCGTTTACCAGTGACCAGTTCAGTCACGAAAGAACAACAAACAAAACCGCTCCCGGCACCACCAAAGAGCGCCACATTACGATTGACCTTGCTCTGGGTGGCAGCCTTCTGTGTGTGGTTTCTACTCATCGCGGTATTGCTACCTGTAATCACAGAGAAAGACGCAATGCCCGGTTTCAACAAGTGGCTTCGTACGTTACTATGAACAAAGCTACGTGGTCAGGAAAGCCTTATAGAAACCCCCCAGGCCCCAAAAGAAAGGTCTACAGCTTCGACTCCGCCTTCGTAGCATCCACCAAACTCTTCCTCCCACCAAACCCAAACAAATACGCAGCAACCTTCCGCATCTGAATCTCCTCACTACCCTCCGTGATCCTGTACCGGCGATGGTGTCTCCAGATATGCTCAAACGGATAATGTCTCGAATATCCATTCCCGCCATGGACCTGGATCGCGCGGTCCGCTGCCTGCGTACACAGCCTATTCGCGTAGTAATTACACATGGACACCTTATCGCCAATCTTCTTCTCAATCTCGTTGTGCGGCATGGAGTCCATCTCCAGCGCCGTCTTCCGGATCAGCTGTCGCAGCATCTCGCATTGGGTTGCGAGTTCGACGAGCGGGAACTGGATGCCTTGGTTGTGCGAGAGCGGGGTTCCGAAGGGTGCGCGCTCGTTGGCGTATTCGACGGATTGCTGGACGCAGTATACGGCGGCGCCGAGCGAGGAGGCGGCTTGGCGGATGCGGTTCTCGTGGACGAAGGCTTGGGCGACGCCGAGGCCGTTGTGGATGGGGCCCAGCAAGGCGGTCTCGGGGACCCAGACGTCGGTGATTGAGACGGTCGCGTGGTCGGTGGGCATGTTCAGTGTCCTGGGCGTTGTTAACAGACAATATGGAGCGCTATGCGGCCAACGACGTACCACTCATACGACTCTGCCTTGAGCCCTGGTGTCTCTACCGGTACGACGAAGCACGAGATGCCCTTGATCTCCCCGTCCTTTCCAGACGTCCTCGCAAAGACCGAGCAGTGTGTAGCGTGGTGCATACCAGTCTGCCACCGCTTGTATCCATTCAACACCCATCCCTTCACACCATCTCTCGTCTCCGGCCGCCCCTTTGTCGCCATGTGTGTCGCATCCGAGCCATGACCGGGCTCTGTCAAGCCGAACGTCATCCTGAACTTGCCCTGCAGCCGCAGCGGTATGAACTCCTTCTTCTGCTGCTCGTTGCCAAAGTTCATGAGCATGATGACGTCGGGGAAGTTGCCAACCATCGAATGCTCTGTCTGCAAGTCGTTGAACAGGCCCAGCCCCTTCGCGGCGAGATGCTCTCGGATGACGGCCATCCAGAGGTTGCTCCCTCGTCCATCGGCACTGTTCTGACCGCCGTATTGCTTTGGCAGCGACAGTCTGTAGAAGCCGGCTTGATCGGCCAGTCGCCTTGACTCTGCCAATAACTCCTCCCATTCCTTGCGCGGCAGGCCCCCGTTGTCCCAGTCCGTTCGAGCGTGCTCGCGGCGGTGGTCGAAGAAGCGGTTGTTGTCGTCTTTGTGCTGGAGCGGAGTGATCTTCTCGTCGATGAACTTGTCGAGATCGGCGAGGTATTGCTTCAGATCATCGGGGATCGAGAAGTTCATCGTGTGCGACAGCGACATCGTGGGGGTCTCTTGATGGGTGCGGTGCGTGGGAGACGATAAGGCTGGTGTCAGCGATCTGGATGGTTCTCAGTCACGAACGTCAAGCTAGAAGCTCGCGGTATAAGGGCAAGCTTCGGGACGCGCATCTTGATGACTCGCTTGCTCTCAGTCGTGGAGTTGCTGTTCCAGGAGCGCTGCTTTGCGGGGAAAGAAGCACAGGCCAGGCGGAGTTGACCTCGGCCTTCGCGGGCGCGCGCCTCAAACCATCACCCAGAACGCGAGTAACGCACGCACGACATCCCCAATCATGAATACCATGTCTAGTCGCCAGGGTCGCGTCCGAGAGCAGACTTCTGTCCCGCCCTTACGGCTGCCGATGGACCATCTCTCAACCCGCACCGATGACCTTGCAAGCCATGAGGGCCCTGAGACGAGAAGGGCGCGGACATCGCAAACTTCACAATACGCCACAGTCCTCGTGCGATGTACACCACTGTTAGCAAACCGAGAACCGGAAATTTGAGAAGTTGGGTCGTCCACATCTCGCATGGTCTGACAGCCATAGCTAAGTCGCTGCGGCGAATAAATCGGTTCATCTTGGACGGCATCCAGTAGTCATTCTCGCCCACCCGCATATAATTTCATTCGTACTGTATGTATCACAAACAAAAACGCATCAGATATCTTCGTGGTACATAGTATTGCTACCTTTTCAACCACGGTTCAGCACGGATTTCTTCCACTCATCCTGCTTTCGCTACCAACGTATGGGCTTCGGCAATAACCCGTACGCATATAAATTGGCTCGTACTAGATTTACTTCTTCTTTTATCAACTGCACTGAGATCTAGCCTGCCATGAATTCTCGCCTTCCCGCTATGTCCGAACCACTGGATCCAGTTGTGACCCCCCAGTCACCAGTCGAGTCATCTACTGGAAATGCCGGCCTGGAACATGACGCCAAAGACACTGACACTGCGCAAAAATCTACCTCTCTTCGAGACCATCAAGGCACTATCGAGCTCAGGTCAAGCAGCATTGTGCGAGAGTGCGAGCTCTATATGAACGGCTTCCCGGGTAGAGACAGTATATCTGGCAATCACACATTTCATCCGGCTATCAGGGGATTTATCAGTGGAACGGTTGAGCCAACAGAAGAGAACCTTGACGCCATTCACGATATGATCAGCTATCGCAACAACTTAGCAAGGCTAGCAATGCACCTACTGGACGCCACCAACATTCCTCAGCCCAAAGGCTTGGACATATTCGACTTCGATAAAGACGACTTCGAGAAGCGCATGTCAGCGACGGCTCAGGTTAGGTGCATCGCTGCCTGGCAGGCTCTTCATACTGGATTGCTACCCCGCCCTGTTGAAGATGAGCAGCAATCACAAGGCCTCCCGTGGCACAAGCCAAACTGGTATATTGCTGCGGCCATTACGCTTGATAAGTCTATCAAGACTACACCTGATATTGAAGGCGCTGTGGAACGTATGAGGGTTTGTAAGTACATATCGTTATGTTCCCCTACGGGTTTCACTAACTTCGGTACGCAGACTACAAAGACCATTGTCAGGAATTCAAGACACTGCTCCACTACGATGGTGAGCTGACACACAAAGAAGAACCTCAAGACTGAGGTCTCTGCATAGTAGCAGCATGATGTCATCCAATGCCAGCGCATAGGATTGGGGAGGCAGAATAGCAGCGACGGATACCCAAGAGTGGATAAATGACACTGACTGGAGACACTGACACAACATAATGTATGGCTCCAGGCTCATATTGTAATTCAGATAACGTCAACTTCACTCATCTCGTACACCCTTACTACCCCACGCGTCAACACTCAAACTTTCCGAAAGCCCTTGTACCACCGCCTCTTCACGCCATTCTGCTCCGAAGCCAGCTCATCCTCCGCCCGAATCTGTTCGTAATCATCCGAAGAAACCGTCGCAAAAGACTCCGCCGATGAGTTCTCCTGCGACGTTCCTACGCCCGCGCTACCCCCGCCACTAGTTTCATTCGTCGCATTGAGTACCTTCAAAAGCTCCGCTTCTGCCTCAACTTGCGTCCGTCCATCTAGTTCCTCTGGCTTTGGCTTCGATCCAGCTCCATCCTTCGACCCCCCTTTTCCCTTTCCAATCTTCCCTACGTTTAACCCCACCGGCACAGCGCTCATCCGCTCGAACGCTTGCTTCTTCGGCGACGGAGGTGGCAGATCTTGAAACGGCTTCAACCCCGCTATCGCTTTTGTCAACTTCTCGATCTCGTCTTCCTGAGCAGTATTCTCACTGCCATACACATTGCTACCCGCACCATCATCATCCTCCTTCGCTCGGACATCCCCATCATCCATCATACAAACACCCTCCCACTCATCCAGTCCCGCTACCTCCATACCCGGAACAAACTCAGACGCATGACGCTTCTCTTCCCGCGACGTAACTCTAGGAACACACCGGCTTTCCGAGTCACTAATCCTCTTGACCAACTCGCGGGGGACATGTTGTTCGCCGCCATCAGTGGGCTTGTCTTCTTTAATCTCACCCTCGAGTTGCGCAAGCGCTTTCGCTTGTTCTTCTGCGCGGAGGGCGCGGACGCGGTCGAGTGTGGGTGTGCGATCGACACTTTGTCGCTTGTTTGATGCGTTGAGCGGGGATGGCGCTTCGTTGATCGCGGAAAGAGGAGTGCTGTATTGAGTTGGAGTCTCTGCACTCTTCCCAAACGAAGTAGTCCTAGACTTCGCCTGCTTCGCCGATATTATTGTTGGGTTCTCGAAAGCGAATCTAGGTAAAATAGGGGGGAGGGGCGCGCTCTTCCTTTTTACTAGTGTTGTCTTTGGCTCATGTTCAGGTAGCGATTGTAACGGCTGGTCTACCTTGATCTTTCCTCGCTTCTCTGTTGCTAGCTTTATCGCATCGGTGGTGTCCTGGCGCATCTTCTGATTCACGTCTTTTGTTCCGAGGAAGTTGTATTTATCTGGGCTTTTCAGATCGGTGTGGTTCCGCGGGTCTGCGGCGTCGAAGTAGGGTGTGAAATCCCTCCTGTTGCCCTTGTTGTCTTTGATAGCGGTCCTAGATGTGTTCTTCGGTGGCGTAGATGTAGATGTTGGATGGGTTGCTTGATCTTGTGCATACGGTCCACCGCCAACAATCTCGGCATACGGATTATGCCACTGATGTTGACCATAAGTTTGAAGACCCGCAACCTGATCCTGCTGGTGCTGGTCATGCGTAGTTCCAGTCTCACCAGCAACGTTCTTCGCGTATGCTCGATCTAGATTTCGCGGTGTTGCATTAGACATCTCGTGGATTGCGCCGCTTGCATCGTCCCAGTATGGCATCGTCTGCGTATCGTATTGGAAAGAATCACTATTCCGCTGCTGCGCATTCCGAGTCGACTCAGTATGCTGACTTTGCGGTTGCAAGATCTGCGGGGCGGGGTTTGGATCACTTGATGCTTGGACGTGGCCTCGTCGGTGTGGATAGCGGTTTCTGGGTCCGCGAGGCGGGTTCCAGTTTGGGTCTTGCTGTGTCATTTTGGGGGTTGGAAGGATATCTAGGGTGCGTGGGTTGAGGGGAGCAAGGGCAGTGGTTTCACAATGTAAGGGGAATGGGTTCTTTGAACTTGCTTGCAGGAGGTGGTCCGTAGAGTGTGGAGTACGAAAGAGGAACGAGGTTCCCCTGGGGCGAGGTAGACGGATGGGCACGCCGTATGTGTGTATTGTGTGAGTGAATGAATGGGGTTGTTATGCGCTGTGCTGGCCGCCTGTTGCTCTGGTGATTTGATCACTGATGAAAGATAGTGTTGGAGAATGTGCGCAGGTCTTGAAGCTAAAAGGGGTCACGTCATGAGATTGGAAGTCAGCGCCGCAGATGGCCATCAGTAGTAGCACCTAGCTGTTCTTCTGGTGATCACTTCAGCAATCATTTTGTCATACCGATCAATCGCATTTACAACAAGGTCTTTCCATCAACCCCTGATTACTCAGAACAGCTTCTCTTCATGCTACTAGTGTCAACGTGGCACCTTGCCATTGAAAGCCGTCGGAATGTCTCGGTCGACCTCTTCAAAGTCTTCAGTCAATTCGTCCTCATCCTGTACCATCTCAAAGCTCTCACCTAACCCTCGTTCTTCATCATGCCATGTCTTCGGCCTTGTGTGTGACGCGTACGACAGTTTCGACTCGTCAGTGGGTCCGTTCTGCGTCTCGTTGGCGTTCATAGCTTGTTCGTCACATTGTGAGTAAGTAAATACCTGGCCAAATTTATCGATACCTTGAAGGGGCTTATGTGGGCTACGTTCCTGGCCAACGCCGTTGCTCCTTGACGTTAGCGCAGTATCGAGGCCGAGAGTGATGTCTTCCATGTCCCCGATCTTAGACTGGCGTCTCCCTGATGCATCACGTATGGGTGTGTTGTGTGTACCAAACCGAACTCCAGATTTCCGTGATCGGCGTGCTATATCTTCAGCAGTGGGCTGAGGATTTACTGGCACATTTGGCCGCAACTCTTGAGTGCCGTAGTATCTCCTCGAGCGCAGGCTATGCCGATCTATTGGTGCTTGCGCTACATCGGGCGCTACAGCGCTTGGGTGAGGTACGGAAGTGTCTAATTCGGAAAAGCTTGGGAACATGGAGAGGCGAATGCGCTGCCTGTGGCGGGCGCGAGCCGTAGCAGAAAGCGAATCGTGCCGACCGGGAGGTGATTGATCTTGTGACATGTTGAGAAGTGAGTAAAGCTACCGTATTGCTGAGCAAGATGGAATGCGCGAAATCTTTGGCTGAAGATATAAGCTCTCAAATAGATGAAGCGCGGTGTTGCTGGCAGTCCTGTTCCAGCGATGTTTTGCGCAAAGCTACGACACAGCCAACTCAGACAACGCGCTTGCGTAGCCATTCCATCGACATCGTCGTGCGTGACAATTGCCATCGATAGCGTATCCCTTCCAGTGAATCTGTATTGATGCAATGCGCTGCTGTGATGTCGCGGTTTGTGAATGTTTCCTCCAACGTAGCGCGTCTGGGGGACAATTGTGTGTCACTCAGCGCAATGGCGACTGAATCCTGCAGTATACCTCGGTGATTCTCGAGCAAAGGTAAGGGGCGAATATGATTACTATACAGGAAGAAAACTCATCCCTCAGTCACCTCAAATGCGTGGAGAGGTGGAGACGTGTAAATTGCAGGAGGGGGTGTTGTGGCGCGCGACACACCCAGGCAAACTGGGCGGGTCAACTTCGTCCGCGCCATCGTAGTACTTGTTTGCTACGCTGCGCGATCTTTGGTAATCTGAACATAATCGCAAAATTCACCTTACAAATCGTGCTCATGCATGTTTACCGGTTGCGTGGTAATGAACAGCATTGTAGCTGGCCAGCGAAAATCACGTGGTGCGCTAGCTACGCGAAAACGGCTGGCCCTATCTGATGTTTCATCCTTCCCACATCTCCGCTGTTTCCACCAACGACTCATCGTTCGCGACCCAACGCATCCTTGCGCCATACCACAACGTCCTGCGAACGCTTGATCTGGCACTGACAGGCGCGCTGATGGAAACAATGTCCGGCTTGGCGCACGCGTGGCAAGATGATTGAAACAAAGCCGCTGCCAGACGGGCACTAGCATCGTGACGCCCTTGACATTGGTTCATGCCATCACGCATTTGGCAACATGACCGTTACGGGAAGGATCGTAACTATTTTGAATACGAAGCAGGTGTATGCGATTACAGAGCGGTAGGTATATTAGGATTTGGGCTGCTGCATGATGTGAACTGTTGTCATCCGCTACACTCATTCTCTCGATTACCATTCGGATATCCTCTCATTTTCTCTCGTTGAATACCTTGAGCGGAATCTTCGGCTGGTCTGAGTGACGTTCTTTACCTTCTCGCCCATACTACATTTGCCTCTTCCAAACCCCTTTAACAAGACTACAACATGCGTTTCGAGATTATCGCGCTCCTGGCAGCAGCTGCCACCTCGTCCGCTCAATCGGTCGTCGGTACAGCTTATGGCTACGGTGCTGGCGCGACTGGTGGAGGAAAGGCTGCTGCTGTCACTCCAACGTCAAACGAGGAGCTGGAGAAGTACCTGTCTGACGACACCGAGCGCGTCATTCTTCTCACTCAGCAGTTTGACTTCACTGGCAAGACCACTTCTGGTCCTGGTTGCGACAAGACCACTTGCTCAGCTAAGAGCGGCGGCGGACAGTACTACTTGGGCGACCTCTCCTGCGGTGGCTCGGATATGACGCCCGTCAGCTCCATCACCTACGACGCAGGCGCCGAAACAGCCTTGAAGGTCGGATCGAACAAGTCCATTCTTGGTGTTGGCGGAAAGGGTGTGATCAAGGGCAGAGGTCTCTCAATCGCCAAGGATGCCAGCAATGTCATCATCCAGGGCGTTGAATTCACCACCATCAACCCTGGCGTCGTATGGGGTGGCGATGCTCTCGACATGCAGGGAGGAAACACCAAGATCTGGGTAGACCACTGCAAGTTCTCCCTCGTCGGCCGCATGTTCGTCGTCAGCCACTACGACGGCTCTGAGGCTACCCTTTCGAACAACGAATTCGATGGTGTCACTACCACATCTGCTACCTGCAACGACAACCACTACTGGACCATGATGATGATTGGAAAGACTGAGAAGTTTACACTCGACAAGAACTACTTCCACGACGTTTCCGGCCGCGCTCCCAAGCTTGGTCAGGACGGTGTCAACAGCTACTTCCACGCCGTCAACAACTACTTCGAGAACATGAAGGGCCATGCATTCGATGCTTATGACGGCGTCAGTGCGCTTGTTGAGGGAAACGCTTTTGTTGCTGTTGACCAGCCCAACACCGAGCACGCTGCCGGTGTCACCACCTTTGTTAGCAAGGGTGGCGATGCCTGCTCATCCGTCTTCGGCCGCGCGTGTCTTGAGAACAGCGTTGACTCTTCCAGTGGCGAGCTCTCCCCAGGCTCATCCTCCGGCTTCATTGCGAAGCTCGGAAAGATTGACGTTCCTGAGCCCATGGAAGCCAGCAAGGTCGCCGCCTACGTCAAGGCCAATGCTGGTCCCGCAAACCTCGGTGCTTCGTCTTCATCTGCCCCCGCTGCGGAAAAGGTCGTCGATGCTGATGCCCCAGCCAAGGTCACCGAGCCTACCGTTCCCACTAGCAGCGCTACTAAGCCCAAGCCAGCGGCTACCACCACCGCGGCTGCTGCGCCAGCACCTGCTGCCCCGACCGGATCTGGCTCCTCTGCCGGTGCTGCCGGTGCTGCCAAGCTCTACGCTCAGTGCGGTGGTCAGGGTTTCACTGGCCCTACTGAGTGCGAGGCTCCTGCCACATGTGTGAAGAGCAATGACTGGTACTCTCAGTGCATCAACAGCTCTTCCAAGTTCCGTCGCGCCCTCGGACGCTACTTTTGAGCGTTGAACTCATCGACAATGCGGAGGACGATTCACCAATAATACTGCGGATGAGAGACGATGTCAGGGTCTGAAAGAGACGATTCTTGTGTAAATACTTCTATTTCAATTCATTTGGCGTATACGCCGTGTATATTCCAGTTCGATACAGTGCCATAGTGATACATCCTCATCGCTGTGCCCTTTCAAGCTTTGCGCAGGTCGTTGGCGATAATCATCGAATGCGACGCCACTAGTCATCTCTGCCTTTCAAACGCCACGCTATGCAATGTGTACAAAGGAAACCCCACTCCCTGATAGACCAATGGGCCTTCAATCATGCTCCGCTACTCAATACGTAAGCTAATAACCCCGTCATTCTTGGCTCCGGCGTCGCAGGAGCCCAGCGGTTCCTAATACTGCATCGCCGTGCGTGTGACTGCTATCGTTCTGCGACAGCCCTTCTGTCTGCCATTAGGGCTTCTTGACACTCTCATCCGGCTCGGCGCTGCTTTGCGCGTCGCTGCTCGCTGCTTTCGTATCTTCCGCCACGATTCGCAAGACTGCGAACTTGCGTACCATGGTTTCTGGACTAGCCGGTAGCTTTGGCTCCACAGCCGGTTCTGCTATAGGCTGGTGTTCTTGGAGGCACCGTGCAGCTGGCTTAAAGGACTTCTTCTTCAACTGTTTTCCGCATCCCTCCCGGCTATGGTCGTTCTTATCGCTTATCCGTTTGATCCAGTTCGTGTTAAATACTGGGCGGTGTTGTTCATTCACCTCCGGATCGCGCACGCGCGCTTCAAGATTCGGATACTCCTTCAGCATAGCCAGCATATCTTCATCAATTCCTGGTGCCTCTCGACCTTCGCTATCAGCCTCAAGCTCCCGGAGCCGTTGGCCAACAGCCTTGATCGCTGCGTAGGTGTACCGGCTATTCTTGCCAAGGCAGTTCCAGAGCGTCTCCAACTCTACAGCAAAGATTGGTCGAGCGAGATGGCACTCAGCAATGTAATGATCTACCCTTAATGCATCTTTGTGAAGATCGAAGAGCTCCATCGTGCGAGCCAACGAGCATGCGACAAACGTGTTCTTTGGGACGCGGATCTGCTTCATCGAGGTCATCGTCTGGTAGTTGCAAGC